TTTTTTTTTTTTTAACGAAGCTCTGGTTTTGCGTTTTCAGAGAACCGCTGGAGTTTCTTTGGTTTCCCCCCCCGGCTCGCCACACACCTTCCACAAAGGCAGCATTGAGTCTCCCCTGACACCTGACACTATTCACTCTTTCCAGGCCTGGAACACTCAACACTTCTCACCAAGAGGACAGAAGAAGAGAAAATGGCCTACTTGTAGAAATATGCAAGTCCTGCTCTGTCATGCTACACACACACACACACACACACACACACACACACATACATACGTGTGCACCGGAGCAGGTGGACGCACACACTAACACACTCACACACACTCCCGTTTGCCCTGGGTGTATCAGCCCCCGGGGGGAACAGTTCGGAGGAAACTGGGACTTGCTGTTCCACAACAATCTCGTTTGCTCCCCCTGGAAGTGTTTCGGGTCAGATTCTCTGGGCCTTTGAGTCAGGTGATCATATTATGGAAGAATACTAGCAGCCCTTGTTTGGTAAGTGTGTATACGTACGGGGAAATGTGGTACTTACTGGCCTCGGCTTTCACTTTGTCCATCTCTCCCATTAAAGTCACTTCTCTGTCCATTAAACTAGAGGAAAGAGAAGAAAAATAGTGGTCAAAGCATTTATTTTGCTGTCCTTCCAGATGAGAAATGCGGATTTTGGAGTAAATAATAATTATGATGATTATATCAACATAAGATAATACAAAATATGCAAATTCTCTCTCATGTAATCATGAGGTAGAGGTAAAATGTGCCTCGGGGCTTCCTGTTCGCAGCATTTTCTAAATGCACTCCACCTGTGTTTAACGAAAGGCCGCAGTTTGAACTGCTTGGTTTGAAAAAGAAAGAGGATCTCAAAGAAGAAAAAAACAAAAACAAGCTATCAAAACAAGCATTAAAATATCCTTAATTTCGACATTTACCCTTGATGTGGAAATGTTTGTGTGACAGAAGAAATGCTGCACATAAACTATTGTTTATGCCTTTATGAATAGGCAACACAGTGTAAATGAACTTTTTCAAATCTAAAAGATAAGTCAGTAGCAGTGTGTGGATGAGGTTGACGGCAAATTGTCGGTCAGTGGCTACTTCAATCTTGACACATCCCCTTTTGTGGCTCCGCCACTCACAACCAGAAAACCGCCATAAGCTGCAGCATCCTTCCAAAGCTCTCAGGTATCCTCAAAAACATGCATACAACCAGATGTAACATACATAGAACCGGATGTATCCTGTTAGCACGCACAAGCAACTGAACAAATTTGGATTTCAAAGTGACTTTTTGAGGAGGGAAATGTGTCAAATTCTTTTAAAACATTATTTTTAATGAAACGTGACCTTCTGAAACAGGATGTCAAAAGTTTTATTTCCCTTTTTCCTAACTGTGAGAGAGTTCAGTTTGTGTGACACTCCATTTTAAGACTGACTTTACTTTAATTAATCTTTAATTAGTTACAGAAGAATTGTCCTCCCAGTGTTATACACAACAGCTAAAATCCCCGGGGAAATCCATCATCCTGATTTCTGAAAGGACTGAATTGAATAAAGAGCTGTTGCTTGATTTTTAGGTTCTATCCATGAATTCATTAAGCTGCACAACCATTCCTCTTTACCGGCTTGAAAGGACTGACGGCAGTGGTGACAGGCGACAGCCACAGGGCGGCTTTAAAGCACACGCCAGCAAGTTTCCAATTATTAGCCGCATGTCATCCACAATATTCATGCTTACAGCTTTGGATAAAGAGCTGCAGACACATTTTCCCCATGAAAAGACACTGAGGTAGAGCTTTCCTGACTGTTTAATTCCGTTTTCTTTTTATTTCCGACAGCTCAAGTCTATTTCCACCCATCAGGCTGTGTACCAAATTGTTTTGTTTTTTTTACTATTAAGTGCAAATTATTAGCTACATTTGCATCTAGCATTCCCTGTAAATCCAAAATCTCTTTTTCCCCATGGACTATTATATGTATGAACTGGAAGAAAAACATTTGCTGCTTGTTTTCCACAAGTACCTTGTTGAGTTAGGTTGTATAAAAATCAAGTACCACCTCTACCCCCTCAGGTTATTTGTATGTGACACAAGAAAGGACGATAATCCTGCTGTAAAGAAGAAAAAAAAAAAGCCGAATAAGTTGCTTTCACGACTTGTTCAATGACACCCCTCCCTGGCCAATCATTGGCTGGCAGTTTTTAGCCGTCACCTTTTTATGTACCCGAGTACAGGTGACACGAGTCGAGTCAAGTAAAGTGCCATAGTGGTGGTGCAACTTTGAGGTTAAAAAAAAAAAAAAAAAAAAGGCTTTGTTGTGAGCTGCAGTGAGGGGAGACAGCAAAGGGCATTAGATACATTTAGATGGTCAGTTAGAATAAATAAATAAAATAGAAGGGGCAGACAGCGACTAAAGCTGCTACGACAGACAATGAGTAGCAGACATGGTGGAATGACCTACCAAGCACTACAAGAACAGCAGCATCCCTTTCTTTCTTTTAGGAAACTCTTAAATAACCACTTCTTCAAAGGGCATCTCCTATACCTACTCTTACCCATACCTCTGTACCCCTCTACTACTCTTTCTGCACTTCCCTCTCTCTCTCTTTGCTGATTCTGACTAGGGATTTTTCTCTATAGAACTTATGATAACTGTGATATTGTGTCTACTTTGTAAGTTGCTTTGGATAAAAGCATCTGCTAAATGCATAAACATAAACAAGCATGAGGAGAAACAGCAGTGGTTATCTTGACATGTAGTTTTTCCTCTATAAACGACCTTTTTCCATAGAAAAGTTAAGCTGAAGGATCACATATTTCTGCGACTGCCTGTAAGGGGCTCCAGTAAAAAGCCTACAGGAATATATGCTCAGCCTTCGAAAACCAGATGACACACGTAAACAAATTCGACCATTAACGCCCCCGTTCTCTTATTAAGGAGAAAGCAAGGCTGAGTAGCGGAGGAGGATGCTAGAGGAAGAGAATGAGGGTGGTTTTATCCTGGGAACAAAGTGATAAAGCACATTTTCATGGCTTGGCAAAAGTTGCATCTTAAAGCTCAGCTGGAGAGTGAGCAGCGTGGACGTATAAACCTCTACGCTCTGGTGTGCGCCACCAGCCAAACGACTCTTCCCTTTTCCACTGGAGCTCCACGTATCCACTCACACGTGCAGTTCAAAGTCAGAGGACAAAACTGCTGCATCGGTCTGGCACTTTAGCCCAGAGCAGAACTTTTTTCTTACCTTTTGTAAAAAGTAAGAAAAAGAGAAAACCCTCTGACTCAGTTAGTACCCGGTAAGAAGCAGTAATGCTGCATTTTAAAACAAGAAAGAAATTTAGCTAACTTCCCTTTCACACACCCTTTGTGCATTCCTGTGTGTCGTTCAAACTCATCTAAACTGGGGGGGAAAACTGTTATCAGCAGGTCATTAAGTTCAGGAACTTCTCCTTTGGC